AAGATGTCTCTTCGCAACTTTGTTACTCCTTCGTAATTTACCAGAAACAGATTTATGGACTGCTAAGAAAGAAATGTTCACTACCTCCCCAAATTCTCCCTCGAGAAGGGAAACTGAAAATTTTGAGAATATTACTATCGTATAAAGGCTGTTTTGTCCAATAACAACGCAGACTTAAATAGTTGTTTCCTTGTTTTTTTTTTTTTTGAAGCAGACTGATTTGCTAGCTAACACATCACGTTCATGACACCTGAACCCCAGGTATCTGTTCAAGGCCCAGTGAATATATAGAAGTTAATAAGAGTTCCCTTTTCATTGTGCTTATTACTAACCGACAAGAGGTGCATACATTGCTTGAGCACTAGGAGACAATGTGACAGTACTGAAGAGCATGATGAGCCTGTCATAAAAGCCCATTACCACAGTGCAACAGTCCTTAAGTGTTTTTGCAGGGATCACAAGAAAGAAAGATTTTTTTTTTTAAGGGAACATGTTTGAGGAAGAAAATAAAGCAGTTGTGAACACAAGTATTAAAGAAGCTACTTCAGAGTTAGAAAGGTAGGAAGGAAAATCATTTTCAGATAAACAGGTGATGGAAGCTAGCTAGGATTTATAGGCTAGCGTACGGTCAACTGCTTTAAGCTATTGTAAGGTAGCCAATAGAAAGATTCCTACTAATATGATTAAGTTTTAAGAAAGGCCTAAAGTGATGGAAGACAATTAAGAAAGCAGAATTTTCTCCTCCAAACTTTAGTGTTGAGATACAGCTGTATTTCTGTTTCTCAACAGGAAATCAAGACACTCAGCAATATAGACACTAGATTTTCTTTTTTCTTGTTGTGAAGCAATGACACTTTCTACAGAAAAGAATTTTTAATGTCTACCTAAAACTTGTATAGATTATTTTTATTCAAAAATACTCAACACACTTTCCATATCGTAGTTCATGCAGACAAGCAACCTGCTCCTGAAAACCTTAACTTGTGAATACGGATCAAAGCTGAAGATATTTCAGTTCCTGCTATCATATACAGATAACACAACCAAAAATACCTGGTTCTAGAAGAGTTTTAGTCTACTGTTTACTGAAGGAGACTGGCCACACCAAAGAGCATGTAAAACATGCTGACTGATACAACTGGAGCAGCTGCAGTTAACTTTTTAAAGCACCACGACACTGTCGCAACTTCCTGTTTGAGGTAACTGAAAATGAGGGGGGAAAAAAAAAAAAGGCTTCTGTAGAAGGGCTGTCACAGGCAAAACGGTCTCAACTTGGGGAATTTGGATTTCATTTATTGCCAACGAACACGAACTTCTGACTACTGAGCAAAAAGACGGCACACGCAGCTAAAGCAGCACCTGGGGACACCTCTGCCCCCGCTCCAGCCGGCCCCTCTCCTGCCCTTCCCCGTCCCCGCTCCCCTCACGGCGCTGTCGGTGACGCTCGGGCCCCCCGCGGCCTTCGCCGAGGCGACGGGCGGCGCCTA